ACCAACTGATTTCAGAAGGGAGGGAAGAAAAGAATGATAAAAATAATATAAGCATATATAAAACGTTCCGGGCACTTTGCATATCACGCCCCTGCACACAGAACTGCCGATTAGATCACGTCCTTTTCGTTAATTAATGAGATCGATTTTTCTGCATACTGATAACCTAGTGCACATGCACATATACAAGGGCTCTTAAAAAGTAAGGGCTGTTTGGTATCCAAAAAAAAAAAAACTATTCCTTGCCAAAGTTTGCATTACATGTTTAGTTTAGCAGATGCTTACTTAAGATTTCCACATAATCACCTTCAACTTCTAAGCGCTCCAAGTACCGCAGCAACACTTCCTTTAGTCTCTCTGCAGATAAGTTCACCGCTTGGGCATTCTTCGTTATTTGAGTTCGTCGGTAAGTATTTTTGGTACCACTTTTTATAAACTTTCAGTTATTGGAGCTGTTCCGTTACAGTGACGTAAATTGTTGCGCGGCCAACAAGGTGACATTTGCACTGCAGACCAGTAACTATCACTCATCACAGTTTCCAGCCACTTGTCGGACAGTTTCGTTGGTCTGGATTCTGGGGTTGCCACCAGTCCACTCCTCGTCGTCCACATATTCGTGCAGCCTGTTGTTTGAAGTGTCGACACCATTTACTTACCTTTTCTCCACTCGTCACTTTAGGTCCACAAGCTAGGCACAGCCCCTGACTGAATTTCAGAAGACTGATTATTGTGCATGCAAAAATCGAATTAGAGTTCACACTTGACAAGCGGGAGCAATGATTCGCGGACATAGTCCTCTGCTTTCTCCGACTAGCGAATGACTACAGACACAACATACCTTCAGTAGTGTAGTACCTTCAAGGAGAATTCACAGCAGGCGTTCCACGAAATGAATAATCTTTATTCTGATGTTTAAGTATTTATTTACTAGCAAAGGTTCCCTGGACTTGTGTGCATGTGTGGACCTCGCCGCCTTATAGACGAACGCTCTTGCTTCGCACTACTAACTGTGCTGACAAGACGTTCTCTTGTCATGCCTTTCACTTTTTCGTTCTCTCCTCTTCCCATCATCTTTACTTCCCCCTTCCATCCATCCCTAAAGGCGTGAGCCGTACCCCCGCGACGGGAGGCAGAAAATAGCGTCCTTTTTATCTCTTCCGCTATTACAAACCTTCTCTCTCTCTCTATTTCTCTTATGAGCGTTGATCCCTCCACCACCCAAAAGCTTTATGCACTGAAAATTATTTTAAGCGAATACATGCTTCATCAAACAGGAAAATCGGCTGTTGGCGTCGGCGTCCCGCGGCGTCGGGAAAAGGAAAAAATCATCATCTGTGATGACGTCATATAACGCCAAAAGTTTTCGACCTCACAAGTACTGGTGCGACATAGCGTGACGTAAACTCACATGATGTCGTCAACGCATAACATTGATTGATCTGTGGGGTTTAACGTCCCAAAACCACCATATGACCACGCCGTAATGGAGGGCTCCGGAAATTTCGACCACCTGGGATTCTCGTACATGCACCCGAATCTGAGCACACGGGCGTACAGTATTTACGCCTCTATCGGAAGTGCAGCCGCCGCAGCCGGAATTCCATCCCGCGACCTGCGGGTCAGCAGCCGAGTAGCTTAACCATTAGACCACCGCGGCGGGGCAACGCATAACATCGTAACTCGCTCAAAGGTGGGCCGATCATAAAGGTAATACAGAAGTAGGTGAAGTACATCCGATCTCGGAGGCAGTGCAAAACCAGGTTAAGTGCACAAAACTTCCGGAGGGTGGTGGGGAAGGATCAATACATCGACTGAACAGAAAAAAAAAGATGGCTTTTGCCTTCGAGTCGTCTTAGGTGAATGTGCGAGGGAGCCTGTGAGCCTAGCTTTGTTTCTTTTTAGGGGCGAAGCTCCTTGTGGCCAAGGGCCGTCCCGCGTTCCTCCGGCGTATCCCGCACAGCATATTCACACAGACAGACAGACAGACAGACAGACAGACAGACAGACAGACAGACAGACAGACAGACGGGCGGACAGACAGACGGACGGACAGACAGACGGACGGACAGACAGACAGACAGACAGACAGACAGACAGACAGACAGACGGGCGGACGGACGGACGGACGAGTGGGCGGGCGGGTGGGCGGACGCTTTGTCCGCTCATCATTCATTATGCTGTGACTTTTTTTACCTTCTTTTCGGCATTTGATCTTAGCTAAAAGGGGATATGAACTGCTGGCACTGCGTAATATTGCAGCGCATGGTAATGCTACTCAGCTATCTTGTGATGAATTTATGACGAAGATGACAATGGCATGATGCTCCATCATTTATGAACGTGTAACGAGAGGCAGAGTGGCGTGATGCTGCCTACGTCCAGGCGTGATGCTGCCTACGTATTTTACAGGGTCCAAGTTGAGCGGTGGATGCTGCCTATATGCGTCCCAACCACCAGGCGTGAGCTTCTGGATCACGCCTCGAGCTCCAAGGACGATCAGCTTCAGAGGCGTGGCGCTGTGCCCATGGCTAAAAAATGGCAGCATATCCACGGGGTGCAGCCATCCGTGCATCCGTCCAAGCATCTGCCTGTGCGTCCGTTCGTCCATCTAGCCATCATTCAAAGTACCACCATCTCGCATCTTTTCATCATATATTCCGCATATAGAAGCACCGCCATCCAGAGGACAATCCAAGGACTAAACGAGAGGCGGCACACGCACACTTTCTCACGGCTTGCGCCTCGTGTCTACCTCCCAACTTTAATCACCTCGAGTTCATGGTATATACTAGTTCTCTGTATTCATGCCACTGCGGCCCAACCCTCGCTAAACCTTTCTAAAACCAAGGAGGTTACGCCCAGTGAGTACAACGTAGCAACCCTTTCTTGTCAGATAGTGCCCAATGTACATGCTAATGGCTGCTAATGGGGAATGAGAGACAGGAGAATTCGGCTTTTGCTTCGTGTCTACTTCCCACCTTTAACCACCTCGAGTTCATGATGTTCACTGTATTCCTGGCACTGTGGCCCAACGCTCGCTAAACCTTTCTAAAACCAAGGAGGTTACGCCCAGCGAGTATAACGTAGCAACCCTTTCTTGACAAATAGTGCTCAATGTACATGCCAATGGCTGCTAATGGGGAATGAGAGACAGGAGAATTGGGCTTTTCGTTAACGTGCACGCTGCGAATTTTTTATTGCTCAGCAACGCACAGGAGAAATCTCCCACCGGCCCCACCTTGCAGGTCAAAACGTAAGACTGGTTACGCACTACGACTACGACGAGGGATGAACGGGTGCCGCTTTAAGGAGCTTCGCCCCTAAAGCTGATGGTGATGATGAATGTCAGTGAAGATGACTCTACAAACGTACCCACCAACTAACATAATGGTGTGGTACCCCAAAACAGAAGCAGTTGAGTTCTAATGGTGACTGAGTTGGATGGCAACCGACGAGATGGTTCTCGTACGGTATCGTTCGACAGACTGCTCTTGAATGTGGTATTAAGGAGCCAACTCATCACCAAGAAGGTTCGACGCACTCCCTGTGCGCAGCGTACAATGAACAAAGTTCTTTCATTCATCTATCCAGGAGGCTCAAAAACAGCGAGAGACAAAATGCACTTTAATGAAAGAAAAATTATGGCAATGTCGCCCTAGTGGTGCCAAGTCTGAAGGGAATTAAATCACAGCCGAGTGGTTTTCGTTACCTCTCCATTTTTTCTTTCTTCATTTATTCTCTGCCCTTGTATCCCGTTTTTGTATTTTTGCCTTTCTCTATTTCTTTCCCTTTCTTGCTCTTCCCATCTTCATTTCTCCTTCTTCCTTTTTCTCTCTCAGTCTGCTTCTTTCTCTTTTTCTCCCCTTTTCTCTAATTTTTTTCTTTATATTACTCTTACTGTTTTGCTCTCCATTTTTTCTGTTTCTTTCTATGTTTCGCTCGGTCTTTCAATATTTCTTTGTACCTCTTTTTCTCTCCATTTGTTCTTCTTTTACTTTATCGTTCTTCTTTTACTTTATCTCTTGCTATCAGTTTTACTATCTTTTTGTCTGTTTCATTGCACCTCTTTATTTCCCCCTTTCTTCCTCTTTCTGTCTCATTCTCTGTGTATTCTCTCTCTTCATCATGTCATGGTTTTTTCTCTTTCTATCTCTTCCTACGTCTTCTTTCTGTTTATCGTTCACGTCTTCATACCCTTTATTTGTCTCTCTATTTTTTTTCACTTCTTCCTTAATATCACTTTCTTGCTCAAACACACACACACACACACACACACACAAACACACACACACACACACACACACACACACACACACACACACAAACACACACACACACTCACCTTGTATATTTTAATGTATTTTATCTATATATGTACTCATTTCCTTTATCTATATTTTCTACTCCTCTTCTTTTTTATCGCTTTCTTTCCCTCTCACTCACTAACCCTTTTTCTCTATCTTTTTTATATCTCAGTTTCTATATTTTGCTCTATCTCTTTTTCATCGCGTTCGTTTTCATTCAACACTACCACCTGCTGTACACTGTAGTGGGACTTGCCCCATTGCTGTGTCGCCTTCCCACCTGAGGGCATTTGCACGACGGAGCACAAGTTACCGATAGCTTAAACAGCTACACTGTAAACAGGATGAGGAGGGTGTGAGCCAGTTTATGAGAATAATAGTTATTTTTTTAAACAACGGATCACAATTCACCGATAGCTGAAAGAGCTCTGCTGTTAAGACGGTAGATGGATTACCACGGGCCCCCTTTACTTCAAATAGCGCGCTGCTGGTGTCCCAGAAGCAGATCCGGAACAGCTTGAGTCAACCTTCATGAGATGGCGGCACCAGCCTGAGCAGAAAAGTAGTGCACTTGTTCGACTGATCATTTTCTTAATGTTTATTTCAAACGCGACGGTCATACATGCACCGTACATTTAGGGACATAGGCGGGGGTACAGGCGTTGTTTCTGACCGGCCTGAAAAAAAAATACCGAACAGCACTAATGTTCTCACAAGGCCAATCCATATATATGTGTTCTGTGGTTATACGTATTACGATGTCACACGTTTCACGGCCCAGTGCGCCTGTTGCGAAGTTGCGGCGCTTGGCGGAAAATTGACGCGGCCAGAAATAAAACGAAAAAAGAGTTGCCCTTCACGTCGCGATAGATCGCACTCGAGGCCGCCGATAGTTCGAGTTGCTGTGAGCAAGTAAGCGATTCTCGAGAAGTGGCGTCCTACGGCTGGCCGAGCGATGGACGTGCGCGAAATCGCGAAGCGTCTGGGATACCTCCTTTACGTCGTCAGCCCCAATGAGACGTCGTTTGAGAAGCTCGAAGAAGTTCCCGACTACATTGTACAGGCGAGTGCATGCGGCAGTTGCTTACACCGCTTGTTCGACTCAGATACGCAGATTGATGCGCTACCAACTATTTCTGGCTACCCACTAAGCTACGAGATGTACATATCCAGGCGTACGTATGTTTGCTGCTGTGCTATGGGTATTTATTTCAATGTTGTATATAAGCACTTGCACTGACAGTGTTATGTGCAAATAAAATGAAGCATGCGTGTTGGTGCTTTCACCGCGTTGGTTTTTATTCTGTTTAGTGTCACTTCTCAGAGCTGTTCATCACGTCAAGAACTGGTAAATGCGAGCAGCCTAAATACCTTCCGAATCAAAAAACGAAATTACCTCGGTGATATTTGTGCAATATCGGAGCGCCTTTGCGGTATGCCGAAGGTAAGCCGTCTACGAGGAATGTCAGTCTGATAATATAAACGAATGGGCGAAATTGTGCGCATATGCCATCACTTCCAGTCCATGCACAATTGTAGACTGCCTTTCTCTGAGATTCATCAGCGAAGTTGCTTGCCTAAGTTCGCATAGAGCTATTTGATGTATCCTAACGGCGGTTGAGCACATTGATCCATTCATCGTTTTTGACAGCCTGCATTTAAACTAACAACTGATTTATTTATTTATTTATTTATTTATTTATTTATTTATTTATTCATTCATTTATTCATTTAAGATTAACAGATTCGATTACCACTCTTAAATCTCAAACTTTTAATGGCATTTACTTGTTGATTGATTGATTTGCGGGGTTTAACGTCCCAAAACCACCATATCACTATGAGAGACGCCGTAATGGAGGGCTCCGGAAATATGGAGCACCTGGTGTTCTTTATCGTGCACCCAAATCAGAATACGCGGGCCTACAACATTTCCGTCTCCATCGGAAATGCAGCCGCCCGAGCCGGGATTTGGTCCCGCGACCTGCGGGTCAGCAGCCGAGTACCTTAGCCACTAGACCACCGTGGCAGGGCGGCATCTACTTCCATCCAGTTGTGACGTCTTGCTACGAGACTACAAACTGTGCGCTATAGAGATTATATTATCTGTTAGTTACGTAACGCAAGAGAAGCAAAGGAGAAAACTGAAGACATGTTGAGTAGGAAGACATCATCTTATAGTACTGTCACCTTGTTTTGCCTTTCAAGAAAAGCGTAGAGACAAGCAAGTTCGTGAATATGCGTCATTGTAAACTGAAGTGCAAATTGAGATACGGACAAGGAAGGGGACGATAATAAAAGCCTTCCGTTGGCAGTGACAAGAAAGGCTGTTGTCGTTTCGCTTTCTTGTCACAGTATTGATTTGCGCTGAACCAAGCGCAAGGAGACGAAATATACGCCGCACACCAATGCTGATTCTTTACGAAATACTGATGTTTTTGGCGTGCAAATAGCAGATAAGAGTTCGGGTTGGCAGGGTTGCCAGCAGAATATTGAAAACGTGCCGATTTCAGCAGTTAAGGAAAAAGCAGACACAGTGCAAAAAATACGGGGACAAACTGAAGAAACGAACTGAAAGACACTTGCGCAGACTTCCGCCTGTTTAATCACAGAAATCACGCCTATTTATAAAGGCTGTCAAGCAAGGTAATCTCATGAAGGAATAGAGACAAGGCAACACAAGCAAATCATCATGAGCGACTAAAACAGAGTCGGATGCGCCGGAAACTATAGACTCATCCAAACTGTAAAATAAAAAAAAAGAAATTAGGGGAGCCTAGATCTTCGCCTTTAGGAGTTACGACAGCGACATCCTGTTCATGTACGTCGGTGTCGACAACACCGACGCCACAATTTCTACGGAACTAACATGCCAGTGCACATAACAAGTGTCAACACTATAGTGTACATCAAAATTGGCAGCGCACAATCGAACTTAATGTTAATGCAGGTTATCTTTCAAAAAATGCCCCTTCTTTGTCACTCAAATATAGTGATGGGGCGCTAACGCACTGGGTACTGCCCTTTTGATCAGAAACGCCTCGGTCGTCTCCCTTTCAGTGCCATTGTTTAACTGAAGAGGGGCGCACAGCCACATCGTCTGCAAGGTCTGTCCAAGTGTCAGCCCATGTTGCTGCTGACCGCCAAGAGGTGCTCCTTCGCAGTAGAAATTGGTAGATTTCAGAGAGGAGAAATTTACCGCGTTGCTTTATTTTCACAGTTAGGCTTTCTCACATATACGTAGAACCTTGTGTGTGAAAGGAGTATGTCCAGTCATGGTGGAGTGATCAGTAACGTTGCAACTTGCCACGTCACTGACAATCTCGTCTCCTTCCGCACCGAACTGCGTGGTGCACGAAGAATAATATCAGAACAACATCTGTTCTCATGAACTGATCAGTCAACTAGCCCCTCATGTGATGCCATGCATCCTAAATATTTTAAACCCCATACTCCACAGAAAAAAATATCTGCATGTCAGAAATGACTTCTTTTGTGTCAGCACATGGAGGACAGTGGATGTGAAAAGTTTATTGAGGAACACTAGGTCGCGCAAGGCCGCGTTTCAATCACATTTGGACTTATGGGCAAACACGCGTGCTGGAACTCTACTACCGGAAGTAGAATTTCATTAAGGAGGTAGATCGTGAACTTATCCTCATTTAAAGTATACATTCCTCTCTCTTCCTAATTTGCTATTTGCAGGTTGTGCCTCTATTTACGGCGTTCCTGATCATTGAAGTGGTGTTCAACCTCCTGCAGAAGAACAGTGACCGCTTCCAACTTGACGATGGTCTTACATCTATAGGACAGGGTATCATTCAAGAATTATCCCGGTGAGCTGTGCTCGAGTTTAACATTATGCAGATCTGAGCTGCAGTATATGCGCTGAAGTATATTGAAGGGGACTGAAAGTTTTGACGTTCATTATTTCAAGACTTCTATTTTCTCGACACAATGTGCGTGGCGGATGTCAGACACAAATTAAAACAATTCCATGTGTCGTCTTTGTCGATTAATATAAATACGACGTGCACATCGGCTCGTGGAATCCGCAGTATATCGACTCGTAACACTTAAGCGGGTCGCAGCGAATTACCTCAATGAGAATAAGGTCATTGATAGGCTAAACCATGCCATTTCGTTCTTTGCATTTTGATCACGAAAAATCTCGTCACAAATGTGTTGTAAAAACGGCTCGCACTCTTTATTCTGTGAAAAAAGGTGGGTTACATTGCAGTACAAATTATGTCCTAATATAAGTCCTTGAATGAGTGTCACTTAAGAGGCCAGAAATTTTTTAATGCATCATGTCACTGAAGTTGTGCTTTTAGCCTGCAGGAGTAAACGTGCTCTCAAGCATTAATTAATAGTGACAAAAAAATCTCAGGGCTTGTACGAAGACTACTGCATTTGCTCGCGCAATACCAGCATAGCTAACTGTCTGTTAATTGGTTATCTCGTCTCACTACTATGTAGTAAAATATCGCATGCGTGCGACTGTATATGTTTCATCCCCCCCCCTCTTCCGAAACTGCGGAGCTCCACGACGGTCTCCCTTAAAGAAAGTCGCAGCGATTTCTTTTTTACTACGAAAACTGCGCGATTACTTATACTTTAGCAAGCAATAGCGAAGCGCGTGCGATCTCAAATTCTTTAAGCCATTAATTGAGTGAGTTTTTTGTGTGTGTGTTGCTTGGAAACGAAAAAAAAAATGACTAGAAATACGAAAATAACAAAAGAAAACGTGGCTGCTGAGATTTATAACTTGTCGTTCCTACCTACCGGCAGACTCTTCACGGAAGGCACTCTCCTGGCCGGTTACGTGTACGTGTACAACAACTTCAGAATTGTCACGCTGCCTTGGAATTCCACGGGGACATGGTTCTTCGCCATGCTCGCCATCGACTTCGCATACTACTGGGTTCACCGCTGGGGTCACGGCAAGTGCATCAATTCGTACTCGGCGCCGCGTCGTCAAGTCACGTTGACACACACACAAAAAAAAAAAACGATCATTGGTGTTATGGCGGCAAAAAAGTAGTTGACGTTACTTCGAAACGTTAGGACCATTCGCAAGTTTGCCTAGGCAATGTTTGTACGAAAGGCACCTCATCTATAAAACAAACGGAAAGGTTATTTAGTTGGAGGACTTGTATGCCCCATCAAAAAAGCGAGTGATACAAAAAAGCCCCGTGACGTCACTGTAACACGTCATAACGTGGCGTCTCATGGTGATGTCGTCATATGACGTCCTCACTTGGTAAAAGGTGACCAGGACGTTCAAGTTTCTGAATTGAAAAGAGACACACAATTGTGAGCCTGTACAAGAGATTGACGAGGGTGGGGGTGCCGAGGGGTGATTACAACGAACTGAGAAGGATATGGTGATGGTTTTCGCCTTCGAGCCGTCTTAGGCAAATGCGTGACAAACCGAACGAGTTTTTGAACCGTTGGCTTAGCGGCATGCATTTGTGGCAAGATTTTGCCTACAGATTTACAGATCAAAATTCGGTATTCGAATTCCCGCATAACGTCCGTTTTTTTTTTAGTGTTATAGTGCTGTGTAAGATAAGGGCTGATTCAAGCGCCTCATATTTGGGCGCGTTGGTGCTACAAACCTCCATTTATATGTGTGGCATAAAAAGGAATGTCCCCAGATTCGTTTTTATTCAATTAAGACGCATAAGACGTGCACTTTTGCGTAAGCCTAGAGAAATATGGATGTAGCTTTTCATGAAGTTTGGTTTATGTGCAGAGATCAACCTGGCCTGGTCCGGCCACCAGGTGCATCACAGCTCAGAGTTCTACAATCTGACAACGGCCATGCGTCAATCGGCTCTGCAAGCTTACTACGAACCCGTAAGCACGTGCACCATATTTACGCGAAGTAATAATTAGTCATTATTGGGGTTTAACGTCCCAAAACCCCCATATCAGATGCCGTAGTGAAAGGCTCCGGAAATAATTACGCGAAGTGATTATACTAAAGTGGCACGCCGGTAAAATGCATCCGCCATTTCACAATTCTCAATAGGTAGACTTCAGGTAGAGCTGAGTTTGGCTTAATTTTATTTGAGAGTTGGCGACCCGAACAAAGATGGGAAACAGTATACAATATTTCTTGGGGTTTGTCGTCCCAAAACAACAATATGTATGAGCGAAACGCCGTGGTGGAGCGCTCCGGAAATTAGGTAACCTTCTCTCAAGTGGACGTAAACCTAAGCACACGGGCCTTTAGCATTTGTGAATTAAATATGGTGTCATTCATTCTCAGATTCGGAGCACTTCCGGTAATAGTTTCCTCTACTCCATTCGAAGCAAGTCTGTTCCATTGGCAGATTGAGAGTGCTCCCTGTATGTTCGATTGGCAAATCTGGAGCAGCTTCGTTGCGGGATCCACTCCACGGAGCAACTTTTTCTACTCCGTGAAAATTGGCGGATCCGACCGGAAGTCCGAAGCGCCGCGTGCCTTGAAACGGTGTCAACTTTGGGCGCGCCAACGGACGCCAGTCGCCTGAGGAGGGCTGCTGTTCTGGACACGGTCTAATTCCGCCATATTGTGAAATTTTATAATGGCGGCATTTTAAGCCAATCAGAGGGGTCGTAGCAGCTGACTTGGCCAATCAGCATCGCTCGATGGCGGAATCTGACAACATGGTGGAATTAGACCATGTCCAGATGGTCTAATTCGACCATGTCCACCTGGAGCTCTCGTTTTGCTAGCGTATATAGCGTCGCTGTGCTCAGCGTGCCCACTCAAGCAAGAAGAGAGAGGCGTGCATCGCCTTCTATTCCGACCCTCCCATTTGCTCCAGAGGGAGCGCGCGTGTTCGTTCTATTGGTAGATTTCTCTTCTGTTGCTCTCCGCCAGGGTGGAGTGCTCCGGTGCAGAGTTTGTCGGCCACTCCGAATCTGCCAATCGATGACACCAATAGTCAATTTCGCGCCAAAATCTCGACCTCACACGGGCGCTCACTTGCAACTGTTTATTACTTGAGGAAATTATAAAGCCACTTTTTCGTCTACGCACGCGTAACGTGCTCGGGCAGCCGTTTATCTAATCACGCTATCGGACAAATGCCCTCCAGATAACGTGCTTCTGACTCGTAAAGGATAAGTGAAGTCTCGATAACACATTTATTACCCCTTTTCTTTACGTCAAAGGCCTCCAAAATTTCTCGTGCTTGCTTTTACTTTTTTTCTCAGGATCCAACTCCGGGCTGTCCAGAAGGCCCACGATGCGGCGGTGAGGCTTGGCCTCCCTGCCCCAACGTGGGAGCGGCCCACAGTGTTGTCCCTATAAAAAACGGGGTGAAGATTCTTCCGGACCCGAATAAAGTTAACTATCTATCTATCAGGGTCCTAATCTGCGTAAAGCGTGGTGTGCATCCCCAAATGCGCGCCATCCTTGTTCTTTACCGTGAGAGCGTGTTCCCTCGCTCGATCGTTCACCCAGCGCCCCGCCATGACTGGCCAACATAGCTTTGTCCGCAACAATTGTCCCTCTTCCGTTGTATCAATAACAGACCCTTTGTTATTCAAGACTGCAATTTCTCAGCAAGGCTTGTAACTATACGCAGTTTCCATTATCTATCTTTGTCTTGTATGTGCTTGAATTCTTATACATTTTTAGTTGACTTATGTTGCCTTCCTGATTTGCGCATCTGATACTTGTTTCTTTATTTTGTCTTTTTTTCTTGTGTGTTATGTATGTTGTACCCACCCCCTCTGTAATGCCCTACGGGCCCTGAGGGTATTCTAATAAATAATAAATAAATAGGGGTATTCCGTAGACCACTTTGGTGGCGCACTTCGTGAACGGCCGCGCAAGCTTCTTTTTGCAGCCTTTCAGATGTCTACGTGCTTTCTCCTTTTGCGAGGTCGTGATTTTGGCGCGAAATTGGCTATTCGATTGAGATATGCACCAACTAGCCCAACAGCGAGTTCTACTCTATAGCATTCAGCCTGCATCCAAATGCGGCCGCCGTGGCCGGTATTCGATTCCGCGACCTGCGAATCAGCAGTGAAGCAGCCTGAGCACTAGACCGTCACTGCGGGTTAAAAGGAAGATACGGGTTCTGTAACTAACTTATGGTTTACAGCGAGGAAAAAAAAAAACACGTGGACATGGACAGGAAACAGACGGGACAACCGCTTACTTCCAAGTGAAATTTCATCGACAAGAAAGCTCTTACAAACAGCTGAGTGAACAGTTAAAAAAAAAGAGGGGGCGGGGGGGGCAGGAAGACCGATACCAAATATAGGAAACCACTAAAAACGTCAACAATCATTGTGGCCTGCTGCACAGACCCTCGGACCTTAAGAAGCACATCTCTCTGTCAGACAGTGGAACTTAGTGACTTGCTTACGCACGCACTCTTCTTGAATCTTATCCAAAACTGGAGCCCTTGCGAACTTCAACCTGCATCCTCACAAAGTGCTGTTGACATTGAGTATGCACAACCAACTAGTCCAGTCAGCTACTTTATTCCGTATCGTCACCAATCGCTAACGTGGGTGTGTTGACCTTCACGAGTGCGGGTGCACGTTAAAGAACCCCAGGTGGTCAAAATTTCCGGAGCCCTCCACTACGGCGTCTCTCATAATCATATATGGTGGTTTTGGGACGTTAAATCCCACATGTCAATCAACCTTTACGAGTGCATCACCGAAGCAGAAAATATACGAGGTCCACTCTGCTGCGCTTTGAAGCTGTTGTTCTTAAGTGTCCATTGGACAAGCTGGAAGTAGTCGTCTCATCGTCGCGTCTATTCCTCGCAGGTCCTGTACCTTCCTTTGGCGCTCGCAGTCTCACCCAGCGCGTACATGGTGCATCGACAGTTCAACCGGCTCTTCCAGTTCCTCATACACACCGAGGTTGTGCACACGCTGGGCCCACTGGAGCTAGTGCTGAACACACCGAGTCACCATCGTGTGCACCACGGTACGTTTCTTTGTGAATTTCAACGAAGATAATTTCTGGGGCTTAAAAGGACACTAAAATCAAACAACAATTTACGTCAGAGTGAAAGCTCAATGTATGACAACATCTAAAACGACATCATCAACAAATGTGTCCTACTTACCGAGAAAAAAAGTAAAATACACAAGAACACAAGTGCCACAGTAGGACATTTTCAAAATGATCGCGATAACATCAGAGAGACCGCCTATAATTAATCACTATTTATCGATCTAACTGCACTAATTAAAGAACGTTCCGTGAAAAAAGAGACGCAATAAAATGCTGCTTGTTTGTTCCTGTTTGATTCATGGAAAAAAGTATTTCCGGACGTTACTATGGGGAATGGTGTGAGTGGTTCGAAAATTCAATTTTCACGTGGTTACACGGGACAGGTAGAGCCATCTAGCTGGGTGCAGTTGAAACAAAAACGCCTGCAATCTCGAAGCCAATGGCGGGAAATTGATCAATGGCCGTTGTTGCTGCTGTGGCTCCCGCTGCTTTCACTCTACTGCTACTAGCAAAGTAAAGCCGGACAACCTTGTGCCTGACAACAGTGACGTGAGACGGGCCGGTTGGTGCGTTTTTTTAGGCGGGTAATTTGAAATGCGCTAACCTGATGCGGAGCACTAAAACGTGATTTTATTTCAAAATAGGCCCTTATTTGGCACAAAAGTAACACTAAGGGGTTTCTGGACCGCCATTTCAACAATCAATGTCGACTTAATAGTTGACTTTAGTGTATCTTTAACGTCCGAAAATCATGATATCATTGTGTGGGATGGTTAGCGCAGTGCTGCGGAAAATTTCGCTCCCTCGGATTTCTTAACGGGCACCTAAATCTGGGTTAACGGACCTCAAGCATTTTCGCCTTCACCATTTTCGACATAGATACAACAGGTATACAGATAATGTATCTTCCTGTGGGTGCGGTAACTAAATTATTATGAGCCAGCCAAACAAAACGTTTTATGGGGTGTGTGAGTGAGGAAAGGTCGGGGTAAACAACTCTTTAGAACATTCGAGCGTGTGTTTGTGTGTGTGCGTCTACAACAATAATAAATTCAAAATGGAAAACACCTAGGAGGGGAGAGGGAATGGACATTGAATGCGATTAAATTTTAAATAGGCGTTCCAAAAACATACAACCCCTCTTTATTTCTTTTTAAAGTGTTTACTTATGACTCGCCACGGTGTTCTATAGTGGCTAAGGTACTCGGGCGCTGACTCGCAGGTCGCGGGATCGAATCTCAGCCGTGGCGGCCGCATTTTAGATGGAGGTGAAAAGGCTTGAGGTCCGTGTGCTCAGATTTAGGTGCACGTTGGAAGAACCACAGGTGGTCGGAATTTCTGCAGCCCTCCACTACGGCTTCTCTCATAATCATATGGTGGTTTTGAGACGTTAACCCCCGGCGATTATCATTAATATTAATTGTTCACTTATGCCTGCTAAGCACAGTGATATACTCTAATGTCGCGTTTTACTTGTAATGTACACGTCTATTCTACAGGTAGAGAACGCTACTGCATCGATAAGAACTACGGTGGCACGCTGATCATCTGGGATCGTCTTTTCGGCACATTTGCGGCCGAACAACGCCGGCCAGCGTACGGGCTGACCCATTCCGTGAACACGTTCGACCCGTGGACTCTGCAGGTATACCACAACGAAGTCGCGATACCCTCAGAGCCCCCTTTTTGCTCTTTTTTATGACCGTGATATCATCCCGCTACGGGGGTCCTCGTGTGTAGAAGATTCGCCTTGTTGTTTGTCTTATAAATAAAGAAGACACGAGGCATACTTCAAAAGATTGGTGCCCTTTGCGTCATCGTGTCCTTGCACACCTTTTCAGATGCACCACTTTTTGTACGTATGCCGGCAATTCTGGACTATCGAAGGACTGTGCAACAAGCTTTCCACCTTGTTTAAAGGTCCTGGATGGCAACCAGGGAAACCAAGGCTCGGAGATCCGAATGACATTCCAGACGTGAGTCAGTAAGCTTTACGTCATGGGAACGAATTTAGAAAACGGGCACATTATGCCTTGCCGTGAATGTAGGCTGGTGATGATGTATTTTCAATGCAATAGCTTCCTATTACTTCTACCTATGTGTATTAAGCAACGGAGCATGACGTCCGGTAACTACAACCTCTAACTGAATTCGACTGCCTTTCTTACTCGCATGCCATCAGCATTGCCTTGAGTTGGCTGACTGCTGGTTAGCCTTGGCTATAATACTGTTGACGTTTCCTAGTGTCAGTCAATGTCTATATTCACTGTTATATAATAGCAGCGTTGGGTGTGATCCAATTATTGCGGGAATTGTAGACAGGCTATGCCGACAGCTCAAGAGAAATCCATGTATAAATCAAGAGAAAGTAATTAACAAATGACCACGGACAAGCGACCGGCGCTGCACTACTGCCACCGAGCTCCGCGGCCATGTTCCAGTCAGCGCAAGCCTGGCAGCCCCAATTCGACCAGCCACTCCCACCATTTCGGACCTCTCGCCTATAGAGTCGTGGTTCGAGGAGTTTGCAGCGGCCCTGTATGACGTCCGGGTCACCAATTTGTAGCGAGGTTGATGGCGTCCGACGTAGACGTGCCACGGCCGCTGCTCTACTTCGGCAGCTTCCTGTACGTCTCTCGTCCTTTCATGAAATCAGTGACGACGGCACGTCTACATCGGACGCCATCACGTCGCTACAAATTTATTAATAGTGGTTGTTATGTATAGGTGAGCACGCTAGAGACTACGTGCATAGAGTGTATATGTTGACACATTATGTGTCTAAAATAATGTGGCAACGAATTGTGGTGTTAGCTGAAGATCAATTTCGTTTTCATGCAGGTACGCCGACCCGTCGAAACCTACGCGCCCAAAACTACGCTGCTCTGCAAGATATACGTAACAGTTCACTTTGCAATTGTAGTCATCGCGTACGTGAAGTTAAAACATTGGAGCACAGTGAGTACAACTTTTAGAGCACATAAATAGCAGTACGAGTCTCTTAGACGCATTTGATAACAAGGTTCATGATACTATCACGCTCATGCGTAAGAATACTTGGGCATTATTTTTTTCTGCATTCTTGTACATAAAAAAGGCCCATAAGGCCTCTTAGATTATCGTCACGATTCTCCATACATCTCAGACGAATATTCATTGCGAAACTTGGTTATACACGCGGTAGATTGTTCTACGCGTGCTTCTGTTTCACTATACTTTTTTCGCCTTTTTGCCTACTTTTTTCTTTGCTCAAGTCAGGTACGCCGTTGGGCAATGCCAGATCGGGAGTGTGTTTGTAAACAGCGTCAACAGCCAACTAGAACTGTATAGACCGTTTTCGTGGAGATAAAAACTTAGCCTCGAACCAGCGCGCTGTATCACAGTGCTCATCGCACGCGTTTATTATTATTATTATTATTATTATTATTATTATTATTATTATTATTATTATTATTATTATATTATTATTATTATATTATTATTATTATTATTATTATTATTAAAGTAGAAGATAAACGAAGGAGTTTTTGTCACCGTTACTTGGCAACGGCTACCCCTTTCCACTTGATTGTTACAAATAAAGAAGAAAAAAATAGCATATACACATATATACAGTCCTAATGGGTGAGAGCATAAGTTCTCCTATGGGCAGAACAAACACGTAGTCACCACGCTCACTTTTAACTTTTCTCCGCTCTGTAGTGGTCACACTACTAACCGTATGTGCAGTTGGTCATACGTGGCTTCGCGAGGTAGTGATTAACAGAGCAAATTGCTAGGCGTGCGCTACGTGTTTCATAGCACGTATATGGTGCGCAGTCTCATACACCTTCACCAGCGAAATGATCCCGATGATAGACGGCGCTACGATCGGTAGCACCTCATGGAATATTGTCTTGGAACCTCGTGGTAGATGGTCTTGAGAAACTTTGAGTGCTAACTATGACAGGTACGAAGAGCGAGGGGATGACCCCAGCGCTGGTGTCGGTCTCTCACCCTTGGTCCGTATCATATTTCCCGCTCGAAGTTTCTTGGTCAGGACATGCTCCAAATAGCTCGTCTTTCGGTCTTCGCCTTGAAAATGGCCTGCAGTCTGAAAAGAAGATGGGTAAGCTGTTATTTCGCGATGGGAAATTTACGTCAACCCCACAGAGTTCGTGAAATATAGTGAAGAGCTTGATGTTACTCGGCTTGATGAAACAAGCGATTTCGTTGTTTCGCATTTATAGGTAATATCTACCGGCACACTTCTTTGTGGAATTCTTTACGTCTTCTTATCACTCGGCGCAATGGGTGCATTCTTGGACAAGAGGTGAGTTTATGAACAGCACATGGTTCATTGTTGCTATCTTCTCTTCCGCAGTATCTTACTACTCTTTTTTGCTCCGAGTACTTCGCTTTATTATTGATTGAATGATTGAATAATTGATTGATTGATTGATATGAGAGTTTAACGTCCCAAAACCACCATATCATTATAAGAGACGCCGTAGTGGAGGGCTCCGGAAATTTCGACCACCTGGGGTTCTTTAACGTGCACACAAATCTGAGCACACGGGCCTACAACATTTCCGCCTCCGTCGGAAATGCAGCCGCCGGAGCCTGGATTCGATCCCGCGACCTGCGGGTCAGCAGCCGAGTACCTCAGCCACTAGACCACCGTGGCGGGGCAACTACTTCGCTTTTTAGTACACGGGCTTTTTTAGTATGTATGTAGAACGTAATACATCAGGGTATAGAGTATGTATTCTCAGACAAGGCCGTAACTCGGGGGAGTTTAGAGGCTTCTGACACCTCCCGAAATTATTTGATGTTTGAACTTGTCCGGCGATACCAAAGTATTTACACGCCTTCACATCGACCCCCAGTTACAGTGTACTTGTAGAATCTAGTACACTGTACCCCAGTTGCCGCAGTTAGCCCTTCGACACATTAAACACCCCTGAAAAAAAAAAAATTGAGACCCTTAAGCTTCGCCTTCAAGAGTTGAACGCGATAGCGAGTTCCTATAGTGCGTGCTTCAAAAACTTAGTGTATGAAACATTTTCGAACTTGGCATGCACCCACTAGGTGGCCTACGGGTGGGATGCAGTATCTACAAAAAAGAAACTGAAGACAGGTGAACAAAGACGTTCGATCGTGTCTTGTACGCGTTTCGTCACTGTCTCAGGTTCATGTTTTCTAAAGTTTGCGCAAGAAACTTTGATCATAAGTGGTCGTTTGTCAAAATCGTTTTCTTTTTGCAGAAAAAACGCCTGCGCTCTGGAGGCTTCAGGTGCGCCCTGATGTTTGTCCTGGACGCCCGCGTGTTTCAATTGTCTTCGATGGTGGACTCCGTGGCTGCCACTGTCTCCTTGAACATCGTCAGGGCAACGTACGCAGCATCGTTGCTGGGCTGCCTCGCCGCTAGTCTGTGCAGTGTCGCGTGGACTGTCAAGCAAAAAGTGGCCTGAGATGAACATTCACACGCACTCGTATGCAGACAGGGTGTCGAATGATGCTACGTACGATTTCATGATTTCAATTTCGTGCCTAAGTACATTGCCGATGGCTTGTCACCTGCTGCTTGTTTCGTGAATGCACTGCGGATATTCCACGGGCTTTCAAAAAAAAAAAAACTTTTGCTTGGTTTGTGAAGACTACGAGTGTACAATAACAAAATTATAAATATTAAAACACGACCTCTGTAATCGTCCCACCGCGTGGACGAGTGATCACGAAGGCTTTGACTATGCGGTAAGGAGGGGTTTTTTTTTTAGTTTAGATCTGGAATGCTGAACGTCCGTTGTGTAAAAAAAAACATATCAATGAAATGAATGAAATGAGAGAAACGCAATGTCGCAACCTTGTTGTTTTAGGCGAACATCTCTTGAGCTGAAAGAAGTGATGCAGTCTCCTTTTGCACTCGTATCGAATACCGCGTTTTCTGAGCAACTGCACATCGCGTTGCAGCTGAAAACAATAGTAATACGTTGCACCGTCTACATCACACCTGTCTGACCGACAGAACAGTATCGGGGAGGATGTTCTTATCTGCTATATAGTCATTGTTAAGCTGTGAAAAGCGACTGCGTCGAACATGATCATCTTGCACAACCTCAACAAAAGACGGAATCCTTGCGATGTAATTACAATATAGACATAGTAGTCATTCATTGTCAAGTTGTTAAGAGCCCCGTGTATGCGTCGAGCGTGAAATTTTTTCACTTTGTGCCTTTTAGCGCTGACGCCTTAGCAACGACGATATCTGTTGAAGCCGTGCCAGTTTTCTTTTTCAGAGAAACATAATACCTAATAACTGCATAACAGCATGAAGATGTGAAGCTTAAATTGAAAGGACTATTTTCAACACTGACTTTCACTCGCAAGGCTACCCCTTAGGACTAGACGTGTGAAAATATTTGAACGTACTGCATTTGAGTCCAATTGTGCATGTTCGGTTTTGTATTAAAATATAATACCGAAAATAATGTAAATACTTATTGTAGATATATAATTTAATACTTCAAAAGAATAGTTGTAAAGACTGTTTTTCATTGTTCACGAGCATTTAAAAATATCAACGGTCCCCGAATAATGACAACGTCAGTGCAAACGGTTGCGACAAGTTTTGGCTCCGCGGGCACACAACTCAAGTGGTTTGCACGTATTGCAGCAGACTATATACGTCACTCACGGAGCTAGATCTTACCAATGATACGGTGATCGTTCGCATTCCCTGGGGAGCTCTTTGCATGCAAATACTCTACTCATCTGTCTATTGCGTGGTGTTAATTCTATAAGCATAGATACTAGCACGTAAACATCACTTGATGGTCGTATAAATGGCTGTTCAGTATCTGAGAACTATTTCAAAGGTAATAAATATTCACTTCAATTTGATGCAATTTGGCACTGTTCAAGTCGAACTTGATTCGGACAAAATGTTCATTATTCCCACATCAGCTACTTAAAGCTTAGTGTAAGTTTATGAGTGTCACGGCGAGAAATACTGAAATTTTTCAGGATACTTATACATGTAGACATTTGACGCTTAAATATGCCATTCGACCCTCACAAAAAAAATCTATGCAGTTTTTTTTTTTCGTGACGTGTATTGTAGTAATCTTATAAGAGGATATGCCTGCGTATTGTCTCTTGTTTTTTTAACTATTAATGAATGTCCCGAATGCTGCGAAAGTTTTTGTTTCTACTACTTTGCTGATCAGCAACCCTTTCGTTAGACATTCGTTAAACTTGGCATACATTATCATGAATGAACCAAATAAACAAGCATTATCTTTTGACAACATGTGTCGAACAAACATCTTGTTTCAAATACCTTCCAGTCTGTCAAGAAGAAAGATTGTCTTGTGCGACTTATGTCGGCCCAATAAAAGTTCAACGAAGCACGCAGTTTGAATAAATGGAAAGAACATTATTTAGGTCTTGTGCAGGGTGTTGTCACCTGCCTGGCTAATCGCACGTCGGGACGGAAGGTCCAGTGTCATAGCCCTGCTTTCTGTCGCATTTTGTGGCCCCATTCCTTAGCCTTGAGAAATCATTTAACAGAGAACGCTGCCGCAGCCGACATTTCAGGAATAGAGTTCGAAAACGCCGCTCACTTAGATTCGCACTCTCGACAATAAGAACGTGTGCGCATTCACGACAAAAAGAAAGTACTGGCAGTTAAAACTAGTACACGCATGTGATATTTCGCAGACTTCCTTTATCAATATTGGGACCACACCCGGTTGTCGACATGGCGACCGTTCAGTTATTTTTTTTTTTTTTTTAGTAATCGCAGCATTACTGCAGTCGAAGCCTGCAGGGAAAGAGAACATTAGCGGCGCTTATATTCTTTGCAGTTGATAGGCGACGCTGATATGGTTGGGAATTCTTTTTTTTCATTATGACCATGTAATCTGTGATAAATATGTTACGAAGATTACGAATTTATTTATTTATTCTATTAATACTGTAGTGATTACGGCATAGAAGTAACATTGAATATTAGTACGCAAAATTATGCTCGTACCATATGTTTGTACTTTGATAATCGCGGTCTTGTTCGACTGGCCTGAATCGCGTTTCTCGACGGCCGTGGTTTAACTTATAAATGGTTATTGCCGAATGAATTCGGCGGAATAGGTTTGAAATTTTGTTATACCAGTGTCTTGGTTTTAGGTTCTAAGTTTCCACTGCAAAATTTTCTATGACACACATTTTGCAACTCAATTTCGTTTTTCATATTTGTATGAAATCAAACAATTCTATGTATTAATAGTATTATTTTTAATAGACAACTGCAAGTTGCTTTCACATTATTCATCTAAAAACGACTCTCCAGCTAACTGCTAAACTATAGGCAGATATATGTTATTTTTATCATTTATGTCTACATATGCAGCATCAAGTATACTTTTTTTTCGGGATGTGCTGGATGATTTTGGTCGGCGTTAACTTGCTGTTGATCTTGAGAATGGCCGACTTTAACCGCAAGTTCTGTTAAAGCTTCGGTTTTTGTTTAATAGAATTTTCACTAAGATACTTTTAAATTTTCATTCAGTTTTTTCATTCCATTCCATACTTTTAAATAGAATCTTTCCCTTACATCACCTCTTGAAGGGCCTTGATAGCATCTTCTAGTGACGACTTATCTGGACTTGTAATTTATCTTCATGCTCTTTGTATCTGTTAGAAACATTGTATCTGTTAGAAACGGTTATTCTGCATGAGGCTTACACGTTAATCATGAATGGCCAGTCGAGTATTGCAGGAAGTGAATCACCCTAGACGTCACAGCGACGGAATCAAGCTACATAAACGTGTGACGCCAGAAGGCGGGTGCGCTTTCCCGTATACGTATAATAGATACGTTCGTGGCGCCAGTTCAGAACACGTCTAGCATGCGTGACCTCTCTGCGGAGTATATATCTTAATGAGATCCGCTTCCTGGACTGCACCTAACGACACGCGCGACCACTTTTACTGTTCTGTTTCTTTTCTCGGTTGAAATATTGCGGCTTGTACTTTCAACATCCGTCGCCCATTGAACAAATAAATAAACCGCTGTCGAAATTGCCGACATCAATACATTGAGTAATTAGGACCACAGCAAAGATCCAATCAATTTTAAAGTGTGGGACACCTTTCCTGCGTGGAAAAGATTATTTACACTCAGCTATATTGTGCTGAGCTTATGTAGTTAAGTAATGTGCTGCCCTACTAAAATTATTGCGACTGACTTGAAGCAGCACAATAAAGAAAAAAAAAGACTAAAAGACAACGAAGGAACGCACAACAGCGCAGGACTGCCAACGGACTCCTTATGGGAAATTCACCACTTCATGGTAGGCAACATCGCAGCAGTGGCGCGTTGAAATTTTCTTGCAAGGACCTTTCAAGCAGCTTCATTTCAATGGCGCTAATCTAAAAAAAAGTTATGAGAAATTCGTGAATGAACTAAGAAACTAAGCGGTCTTTGAATCACGCATGGTTATGGTATGCGTGGGTTTTCTGTCGACGTAGAATATGTGTTTGATTCGCTTCCATATGATGGTTTGCTGACTTCACTACGTAAAAAAATTGGTAAAGGAAATGAACAGCTAGGACTTCCAAATCTCGGCAGGCATAAACTGGTGACAATTTCATCTCGCTTTTCAAGTTTTATCCTAATACGACCTTCATTAATCACAATGATTTTTTTAGAAATTCCACGCACCGGTATTTATAGTGGATCATCTATTGTTCTCATTTTCGGCGACGTTTTTTTTTATTTAGCGTTAACAACCGTGTTTGTGCCACTTCAAATAACTCTCAAACTACCTGCATATACCGCTACGTTGATGACTACATCATTCTTTTGAGCAAGTGGCCAGTAACCCCGCCGCGGTAGTCTAGTGGCTAAGGTACTCGGCTGATGACCCGCAGGTCGAGGGATCGAATCTCGGCTGCGGCGGCTGCATTTCTGATGGAGGCGGGAATGTTGTAGGCCCATGTGCTCAGATTTGGGCTGCACGCTAAAGAACCCCAGGTGGTCGAAATTTCCGGAGCCCTCCACTACGGCGTCTCTCGTGATCATACCGTGGTTTCGGGACGTTAAACCCCATATATCAATCAAATCAACAAGTAGCCAGGATACCGTTTTGATGACGAAGTACACAATATTCTAAAATTGTTTATGATGCATGGAATGGGACTTTGCTTTTGAAACACTGAAGAATAACAATATGCAGTTCTTGGTTATTATATTTTCTTTCATTTGTCTAAAGGAACATATTTGCTGGGCATGTCTACCCAAATTGAAGCATTGTCACGTTATACTGCGTGCTCCAAGCTTGTAAAAAGGCGGAAGATCATCACACAACATGAAGAAACAAGCACCCCAACCTCGCGTTTTCTGTTCTCTGTAACCGTTCGATGCTGTGTAATCTTGTGAAAAATAGAAAGTGGTAGCTATATGAACTGCTATCTGATAATCGCAAAACGAAATTCGCCAAGTGCGACTTTAACGTTCTTTATGAAATACCGTAGTGCTGCGCAGAGTGTACACTGGACAAACTAAGCATTGTACTAATGATGCGGCTTGGCAACACAAGAACAATGTAAAAAATAAGTATGATTGTCGACTCTACCTTCCCACAGTAAAAAATACTCATGAACAACCGATATCATGGATAACAAATTTCTGGTGCTTGAAAAATTCAAAGAGAAATCGTGGAATATTACGTTACTAAAACTGAAACTGAATGTTTAAGTGGGTAAAAGCTCAGGAGAGTGATAAACAGCTGCTACTATTAGCAATGCGCATGCAAGCGATCTTTAACTAATGTAGGCATTTCTTGTGAGATATGTGTAAGTGGTAAATTTTCAATACAAGTCCAGTTGGCAGTTCAGTGCTAGTTCTGTTGTGTGTGTTTTTTTCGTGATCCTCGTTTTTTACAGCGCTACTTCAGGTTATTCGCAAGCTGAACCGCTCGGCCAAACTTACAAGCTGCTGGCAAAATCATTGTCTGTAAGCATTTCACCTGGAGTACAAGCGCCGCCCCACATTCGAGAATGCAAAAATACATGAACATAATGATGATGATGATACGTGAGGTTTAACGTCCCAAAACCACCATATTATTATAAGAGACGCCGTAGTGGAGGGCTCCGGAAATTTCGACCACCTGGGGTTCTTTAACGTGCACCCAAATCTGAGCACACGGGCCTACAACACTTCCGCCTCCATTGGAAATGCAGCCGCAAAAAATACCTGAACATAAGGTTGATACGCACATGCGTATTCAAACTTTCTGTTGCTTCACCATATATGAATGAAAGCAAAGTGGCAAATTGGGCATACTCATCACGATCAACGCACAAAAAGCACAAGAAAGTGCACGACACAGGCGCCGTCTAACAACTGAAAGTTTAATGGAAGAAAGTGTTATATGTATGCAAACATGAGGGCATAAAAACTCTTGGCAACCCCCCCCCACCACGTAATCAAACAAGCTGTAGATACGAAATGGCAGCACATGTGAGAGCGATTGAAGGTTGGTTCACGCACCTGTCTCTTTCTTTGATGATTCCACACGCTTGAGCAATTTCACGCATGCGCTGGTCTCTATGCCTCACCACCACAGCGGCTTTGTTTATCTCAGCTGCGCAGCCGCACTGCCGGCATTGGAGGGCAAGATGCATAGATAGAGTACCTTGCAGAGAGATAGCGTGCCCCCTTGGACGGACGTTGAGGCAACGTCCAATCTGCCCAATGTTCGTGCCCCCGCATGACAAAGGAATGGAGTACGCCACTCCGCTCGCACGCTAAGTGAAACGCTTAGAGTGCTTCATAGAGGCAACCTTCAGCGCTGACAGTGGCCTGCCCCTTCTGCACTCTTTTGTCAACTTTAGAGCACACGCTTGTCAGCACGAAAAACAACACTAATGTCATAATGACTGGCCACCTTCTTCAAACGGTGCGACACGATGTGCAGATATGGGATAACGACGAACTTTTTTTTCGCCTGTCCGAGGCCACAACAGCAGCGCCAAGACCCTCTTTTTGTTCCCTTTTCGGGCGATGAAAGAGTCGCTGTGAAGTGGAGGCAACGACCAGCCTCGTGAAGCTGGCCGCTTCCAATCTGATAACCCGTCGTAAAACACTCACGTAGACAGTGTGAGGACCGGAAATCTTTAAAGCCGAATTAAGACAAGACGTTGCCAATCCATTCTTTACAAATTTTTGGATGAGCAGAGCGATAGCTTAAAAGTGGTTTTGTGGAACGAGGGGAATAAAAGCAGCAAACATAGTCCCTCTGCAACTGTTATGAAAGATCTAAAAATTGCAAGACACTGTCCCTTGGGACTTAACAAGTAACGCACAGACCTTTGTCCCCTTTGCTTGAACGGACTTAGGACCTACATCATAGACACCGTAAAGTTGACGCGATCGACAAACACCGAGTAATAGTCCACTTATCTAAAAACATGCCTTACAATACCCTCGAAATCTTGCTCAAGGGTCCGGTCCACTGTTCCAAGAACTATATTGCTTAGTACTGGGGCTACCCTTGACTCGATACAGATACTCGATTTCTGTACGTACGGACTCTGCCCAAACGAAACAACTGTAAAACATAAGTAAAACCAAAGTAGTTCTAAGGAGCTTTCCACTGGAATGCCAACATTATTTCTGAACACCACTTCGTCAGTATCCTCGACAATAGTTCCTTTCACACAATTCATGCGGCAACCATGTGGCACGGAATAAAAGAGGTCTTGTATGTTTACGCTAAATGCAGTAGAACTTGTAGGGTTATGCTCAACCAAGACTTTTACCACCTCATCCGAGTCGCGAATAACTAAAGGATCAAACAAACGCAACGCCTCTGAATGCCTGTGTAAAAAAAAAAATCGGACAACGTGTTGCCACGAGTTCCGCTCGGTAACAATTGTCCGGAACGAGACATCGGCCTTGTAGGTTTTTGCAGTGGAAGACGTGTCAGGGCTCAAGAAGTGTCAAGAAGTGTCAGGGCACGTTTGTTTATCAGAGACCTTTTCCGACACCAGCTTAAAAGTTCATTTCCACGATATTCATGGCATTTTTATTAAACAACTTTTGCGGCATGGCAACACCCTTCCTTGCCAGATAGTGGAACCCGAAGGCCCTTATCTACGAACCAGTGTACAAGTCCCCGCAAGTTCTGCCCATGACGTGGCTCTTCTCGACCCCTTTACGGATAGCTACAGTACCGACTCTTTGATTTAATGCACGGTTTCTGCCTCTGGAACTGGGCGGGAAAGCTCACTTTTTGAACTGAAGAAAACGTGCGGTTCAAAGAAAATTTCGGACCCTAAACGAAGAATATGCTACAAACGTTCCAGTACCTGATTGTCTCCGTGAACAATCACACGTCCTTCACTGGTATAGGTGGCTTGGGTTTCGAAGACAGCGTCGGCAGCAGGGCTTTCCAAAGTAACTCGGCGATATAATTTGTTGTCCTAATCCAGTTGAGAATAGACGTCAGCGCTGAAGGTTCTCCTCGAACCTTCACTCGTAGCGTTTCAATGACTGCGCGAGCGGAGTTGTCTATTCTATCCCTTTGTCATGCGGGGGCAGGTACGCAGACGGGACGTTGCCTCCATCTAAGAGAGCACGCTATAGCTCTCCGAAAGGTACACAATCTACGCATGCCTTGCCCTCCATTGCCAGCAGTGCGGCTGCGCAGCTGATGTTAGACAAAATCGCTAGGATGATGAGGCATAAAGGCCAGCGCACGCGTGAAATGGCCGAAGCGTATGAAATCATAAAAGCAAGAGACAGGTGCGTGAGCCAGCCTGCAATTCTTGATTGATTGATTGATTGATTGATTGATTTGTGGGGTTTAACGTCCCAAAACCACCATATGATTATGAGAGACGCCGTAGTGGAGGGCTCCAGAAATTTCGACCACCTGGGGTTCTTTAACGTGCACCCAAATCTGAGCACACGGGCCTACAACGTTTCCGCCTCCATCGGAAATGCAGCCGCCGCAGCCGGGATTTGAACCCGCGACCTGCGGGTCAGCAGCCGAAGCCTGCAATTCTTCTCGCAGATGCTGAGAATTCGTATCAGCAGCTTACTCGATTGCGTGCATCCATTAAACATTCAGTTGTTGGACGTTGTACAGCGTTTGTGTCGTTAACTTTCTTGTGTTTCTTTGTGTTTTTGTGTGCTTATCGTGATGAGCGACGATAAATGAATGGCTCACTGCCGCTATAAAATATTGTCCAAAATCGGACGAGCCAAGATAACTTTAAAACATACATGTGCCATTATAGTTAAGTTTTACTTGAGACATCTACAACGCTAATTAAATGAAAAGCCATCTACTACACGACAATGCCTATTTTCGCCAACTTGAAACATGTTCTGAAGACGATGAGGACGATGCAGCAGTGTACAAGAACGTGTCGCGCGGGCTCGAACCAGCATGCAGTGCACGCTCCTTGCGCGTCTGGCCGGCAGCACGGGAAGAGTTCGAAGCAAGAAAGCCTGAGGTGACATCCTTTGCACAGGTGGGTGGTGCTCCGAAAGGAAAACTACGTTCACTAGCCCTGAAACGTATTCAATGCGCGATACCTTAGAAGCAAGCGTCTCGCCTATAGCCGCGTTAATCGTGATGCAAACAGCGGAGTAGAACCAGGGCCACTTATGGCCGCCGTGCGCCATGTTAGGCCTAATGCACTGATTTTCGTAAAGTCATAGTAGCGTCGCATGCCAACAGTAGGTGCCATCACTAACAGTGACTATTGGCCGCAAGGGCCTGCACTAGGGAGGCCAGCTAGCGCTGCGATCATTTTGACGTCACAGGTAGGATGCGTATAGTTGTGGAATTCGGCATCTTTGCTTTCGAGACACCACTTGCAACGTCCCACAAGGCTGCACCGGTTGTTAGTCGCGATTTTACGATGCAAATTAGACACGAGAGTGCCACGGGGGGAACCGATTGGTAGTTCACTTGCCGGTATTAGGAGGTCTTACCACTTCTTTAAGTAATGAGCTTCAAAAAAAAAAAAAGCACGCACACACGGTGTTCACAGCAAAAGCGCGGGAAATGCGGTGTTCTAGCAGACAGTCAACCCGGCATCCTATGAGTGACGTCATCGCGCAGGTGCCACCACGGTATGTCCTCGAGACGAATAGCTGGTTGATATATGTGAATATACAGATACGTGGCACCACAGCTGACAGATTCGTCTGCGTTGTTCTTGAGTGGCGTGGCACGCCCTTTAGGCCGACGTAAGTCATGACGGATAACAAGCTCGAGCGAGTTGTGATAATGACTCGTTGTTGTGAATGTAAAACACGCAAGTAGAATCAGCGTTTCTCCTGCGTCCCTTTCGTTCTGCTCAACATCGGTGTCTTGTTTCTAAGCCTGCGTGCGCATTTTTCTTTCAATCGTCCAAGCTATACTCGCGAGCAAATTTTCTTTTGGCAATGCAGTGAATGCTTCTAAGTCAAATTGCGCGTATCCTGCCGCTAACGAATGCAGACCTACAACTGTGTCCCTATTTTCAACGCGAGATGTGAAAAATACTGCCTTCATTTCTCCCATTCAGCTCTTTGACACACAACGCATGCAACTCACACAAGAGCAATATATTCGTATTCGTTTTAATTTATTCCTTGTCACTTTCCATTTTTGAATGCGTGAAAAACACGCGCCTTTTGCGTGTACTTCGAAAGCCAAGCGGCATCTGCGTCAATATGAAACGCTCATCGCGCACTGCCATTATTTATTTTATTATTTATCACTTTCCACAGTGGTGCGGAACGCATGACAGATACTGCGCTACTTGCCATAATGGTACATGTGTAGAAGCTTCGCCTCTGTATATCTTTCGCTTCATTGTCAATAAAAGTTGTAGGAATGGGAGATAAATTGTGAGGAACGGGTCCCCAGCTCGTGCAGCGTAGCGTTACAGTGACTCTTCGCGATGACTGCTGCCACTAGCGATTTCTGCAAGATGCAAGATGCCGTCAAGTATTTTTTTTTTCAAGTGCATTCTTCGCATTGAGGAGTACCGATTTTCCGACGTAGTGTTCGGGTAAATAAGCAGCGATCAAAGGTGTGCATGTCAACTATTATCAGAGCTACGGCGTCTAAACTGAAATTTCCTGGAAGTGTCAATTAATAGACGCCACAGTTTGCACGTACTACATGTACCTTTAGTTGACCACAGAAAGCTCTGCAATCTATAGGCAGAATGCGGAAGAACCTTTGCATCGTTAAATATACTATAACCCTTATTACCATTAAATAGACTATCTACGGGTTTCATTCTAATTCGATTCAACGACGAACATTCTTTATTACGTCAGGTGCATACGTTTTTTTTTTTTTGCACCCTACGCTAACAGCCTCTTTCAGGAGGCTACACGATCATATTGCAGTAGTTATTGGCTTAGGTGTCGCCTTGCATCTTTTCACCCACAGTCGGGCTACGGAGCGGGAGAATGAAGTGCACCACGGCCTGCGCGTTGGTCGCTGCTGTCGCGGATCTCGCCGCCGCCGAACCGGATTCGGAGCACTTTCGGCGGCCGGAATGCTCAGTGTGAACGCGGCCTTAAGGCCGACGTAAGTCACGACGGATAACAAGCTCGAGCGAGTTCTGATAATGACTCGTTGTTGTGAATGTAAAACACGCAAGTAGAATCAGCGTTTCTCTTGCGTCCCTTTCGTTCTACTTAACATCGGTGTCTTGTTCCTAAGCCTGCCTGGATTTTTCTTTCGATCATGCAAGCTATACTCGCAAACAACTTTTCTTCGCAATGCAGTGAATGCTACAGAGTCAAATTGCGCGTATCCTACCGCTAACGAATGCAGACCTACAATTGTGTCCCTATTTTCAACGCAAGATGTGAAATATACTGCCTTCATTTCTCCCATTTAGACACTTGACAAGAACGCATGCAACTCACACTGGCAATATATACGTATTTGCTTTAATTTTTGTCACTTTCCGTTTTTGAATGCGTACGAAACACGCGCCTTTTGCGTGTACTTCGAAAGCCAAGCGGCGTCTGCGTCGATATGAAACGCTTATCGCGCACTGCCATTATATATTTTATTATTTATTACTTTCCACAGTGGTACGGAATGCATGACACATACTGCGCTACTTGCCATAATGGTACATGTGTAGAAGCTTCGCCTCTGTATGTCTTTCGCTTCATTGTCAAGAAAAGTTGTAGGAATGGGAGATAAATTGTGAGGAACGGGTCCCCAGCTCGTGTAACATAGCGTTACATTGACTCTTCGCGATTACTGCTCCCACTAGCGATTTCTGCAAGATGCAAGATGCCATCAAGTATTTTTTAAGTGTATTTTTCGCATTGAGGAGTACCGATTTTCCGACGTAGTCTTCGGGTAAATAAGCAGCGATCAAAGGTGTGCATGTCACCTTATCAGAGGTACGGCGTCTAAACTGAAATTTCCTGGAAGTGTCAATTAATAGACGCCGCAGTTTGCACGTACTACATACGTTTAGTTGACCACAGAAAGCTCTGCAATCTAGGCATCATGCGGAATAACATTTGCATCGTTCAATGTACTATAACCCTTATTACCAATGAATAGATCATCTGCGATTTTCACCCTAGTTGGATTCAACGGCGAACATTCTTTATTACGTCAGGTGTATACGTTTTTTGCACCCTGCGCTAACAGCCTCTTTCAGGAGGCACCACGAACATATTGTAGTATAGTTAGTGGCTTAGGTGTCGCCTTGCATCTTTTCATCCACAGTCGGGCTACGGAGCGGGATAATGAAGTGCACCACGGCCTGCGCGTTGCTCGCTGCTGTCGCGGTTCTCGCCGCACTCCCCGCCGAATCGGACGCTTCGTGGAGCGGCTGCCAGTACTTCAACTGCACACTCAGAACTCCCGTGAGTATATAGTGTACGGCGACCACGCAACCTGCGCTGCTGTCGCATGCACGTGCTCTGGCGTAGGATTCAAGCATCGGGAAACCGTTGCTCATTGCTATAGATATTCACGTTCAGACTGGGCTCCCTACAAGTCGCCGGGTCTTACGCGGTCTCACCGCGTGGTTTAAGATATTCTTGTGCTTGCGTTTGCTTTCCCCTCAAACTGCAGTCAACTGAAAACGGCGATGGGGAATGATGGCAAGGCGTGCAGACGCAACTTTCACAGATGGTTGCGTCGCCATGCGGCATCCGTCGTTACTGTTGTTTGGGGGATGCCCACGCAGCCAGCCCAAGGAGGATTAAAAAAAAAAATTGCTAGAGTGGAAATGACTTCCCAGGAGTGAAGCCGTTCCACTGGCAAGATGGCGGCCATATTGCTAGGGGTATGATAAATTATCACCGTTCAGCGAATAAAAACGAAGCGTTTCCCTCGCACGCCCAACAAGTTTATAGTGAGAACTTTTTCTTGTCACATAGTGCTCCAAGTTCGTCTTACAGTTACTACTTTTTCTTAGTGAGCCTTGAAGTTCCTTGAAAGATTCTGTCATCTATACTCGTTTCTGTGTGTTATTTCGTCGGGAACAACAATCTTTTAACATAGAACTAACGTAGCATTTACATAATATATCAAAGCCACTTGATCTTTAAGTGGGCACCATCAGAAAAGAGCATGTTTCCGCCATCTTGGCAGTTGCAAAAGATGGCTTCACTTCTGCTGGCAAGGCACCGCAAGAGCTTCCACTCTAGCAATTTTTCTTTCAACCTCCTTGAGCCAGCCCATGCTATCGTTCAGTCGGCCTCACTTTGGTGGGTTTCTGGGGCTTTATATTTTGTCGCTGGCAATTTCTACTACGGCTATTTCGAATTTGGTAGTGAACTACCGAAATCGGACAGGTACAGAGAGTCGTATAGTATCGCAATGATTTAGTCTTTATTGTTTGTTTTCTGAGCTAAAAGAATCGCAAATTATGTTGGATGCCGCTGTGCAGACGCCGTGCAGCCAAAGCCGAGGTTTCCTGCTTTGCACGAGCACGGCCGCTCGATCTTCCCCGGAACCGTGGCACGAGCAGCGTTCACAAAGCCGTGCGTGCGTTTCTTCGCACCGCAGCAGACGATGCGCCCGGCGTTCAAAACTTCTTTTCCTTCAATATACGCCGCACACGCGTTCAACACGCAGTGTGGGATATGATACCTGCTAGAGTCAATGACCTTCTCTGCAAAGCCTTGATAACGCGGTGGCAGCAGCAGAACATACTACGGAGTTCGATGTGAATTTGGCGGCTGCCGGCATGCCAAATGCGCGGTCCCCCAAACGACAGCCATGTTTGGCTTGCACTAGCACCCTCTCTAGGCGATGAAAGTTACGAATAACACTTAACAGAACCAGGCAACATAAACTGTCACGCTGTCATTGTTTGATTTCCTTTTCTTGTTTGTGTGGGTTGCACACCTTGACTTCGCCGGCAGTAAATGGCCCCTATCTACTCTGCAGTCCTAGACCGCGATATGTCTTTGAGATTTCTTGTGCATACCATGACCTTGTAAAAAAACGCAACAAAGTTACCTTGGTGACAAAGGGCGAGAATTTACAGTTTAAGAGCGAATTGAATAAGTGCCAATTTGCAGCCGGGTGAGACAAAGAGCGCAGTTGCGAGATCAGCGTCTGTTTCGACGCTTACGCTTTTCTTTTCTTTTGTCTGTCTTACCCAAAATGACGCTGTTTGACTGTTTGGTGACTCTGGTTCTTGCGTACGCTAACTAGTCTATTTTTCGCTTCACGCAGCCATGCAAGAGCCCTTGACGCTCTCTCTATAACAGTCCAGTTTTTCTTCAGCTCTCTATTAGATTTTCTGTCATGTGGCACTCATTGTAAATCGAGTGTATTCTCAAATCAGAATTTCGGTCAATAACGCAATAATTGTTTTAAACTTTGAATGGTATGCTTATTGGAAGCTTTAAATGGTGTGCTTATTGGAAGCTTTGAATGGTGTGCTTATGGTGTGCTCGATTGGAAGCTTTCAATGGCGTGCTTATTGTGTTGCGCTGCCGATCTCCTCCGCAGGTGCGGCCAAGCGATATCGCAAACTTCATGGAGGCCTTCAGCACGTTCAACTCTCATCCGTGCATCAACTGCACCTACTACGGGAACATCTTCCACTCCCAGCTCCATTCTGCGTGAGCCCGACGTGAGATAAATATGCTCGAAAAAAAAATTGACTACAAAAACAACTGAAATAAAAAAAATATTCGAACAAAATGCGTTTCAAATGCGAAGCATTTCGTAGTGAATTTCGGCGACATATCTATCTATACTATTCTATCTATCTATCTATCACTATCTATATCTATCTATCCTACTATCTATCTATCTATCTATCTATCTATCTATCTATCTATCTATCTATCTATCTATCTATCTATCTATCTATCTATCTAGTCTATCTATCTATCTTCTATCTATCTATCTCTGTCTGTCTGTCCGTCTGTCTGTCTGTCTGTCTGGTCTGTCTGGTCTGTCTGTCTGTCTGTCTGTCCTGTCTGTCTGTCTGTCTGTCTGTCTGTCTGTCTGTCTGTCTGTCTGTCGTCCGCGAACGATTTTTAGCTCTCGTGGCCGCTTCAATAATGGTATCGATACCAAACTTCGTATGGCACAACGTGACTGTATGAATAACATATTTCACTAGCCATGATATTAAAATCATGACATGTATGTCATGAATGTCCCGATTTACATTTCGTGGTTCTGCTGCTCTTGCGGGAGCTTCGTTCACATGGCATGTTGCAGAACTGGTATGGTATGGCATGATTGCGTGGCGAACACAAGAGACAGATCCTAACACGAAAATACTGACATGCGTGTCATGTAACAACATGGCTACATGCCACGCTCATGATACGCTCGCGGCCGTTTCGCTGGCGTCACATATACCAAATTTGGTATATATTACAGTACGTGAATGGTATAACTGTCAGTTCAAGCGCACGAATAAACATAAAAGGAAGCGAGGACGACGTGAATGGATGACGAAGGTATGCATGTGACTGGCGCAAACAAACAAACAATAATCATGACAAGCGTGTCATGTAACATGACTACATGCCGCGCTCATGATTTGCTCGCGGCCGTTTCAAAAGCTTCACTAATACCAAATTTGGTATTACGGGACGTGAATAGATGACGAAGGTATGATACTGGTGCAAACATGATAAACATGAGATGCGTGTTATGTAACAACATGACTACATGCTAAGCTCATTATGCGCTCACAGCCGTTTTGCTAGCTTCACATGTACCAAACTCGGTATTACGCGACGTGACTGGGCGACATAGGTAAATGACACATACAGACATGATAATCACGACATGCGTGTCATGTAACAGCATGTCTACATGCCACACTGATGATGCGCTCGCGGGCCGTTCCACTAGCTTCACATATGCCGAATTTGGTATTCTGTGACGCCAATGGATGACGATGGTATGTGACTGGTGCCACAGTCAAGGAGCCAATACATTTCGACGTGACGCGGTGCGCGTGCTCGCCGGCGTTCGTTGCGTCACGTCACGCAAGCGTTGCCACGCCAGGCGCTGGTCCTGCAATATACTCGCAGACGCGCGCCACGCTGCGTTGCTTTGACGCATGCGCGTTTCAGAGCGTCCGGCGTCCCTCCGTCACGAAAAGAGGAAGACGCAGTGTTGCCCGGCTAACACATCGGCGCGAAATGCAGCATGTCGCATTTCGCACTGGTTGCCGTCGGGCCGCGCTGACGGACGCTGGACGCGCCGGTCGTGGCAAGGCGTCAGATAATAGAGTGGTCGCGTTTTGCTAAAGTAGCATCGCTGTGCCCAGCGTGCACGCGCGTCAACGCTACATTGGAGTATATTGGCCCCTTCATGATGAGCTCGCAACCGTTTTGCTAGGTCCACATATACCAAATATGGTGTAACGCGACGTCAAAGGATAACGAAATATATGACTGGTGCAAACATGATGATCCTGACACGCGTGTAATGTAACAACATGACAACATACCACGCTCATAGCGTGCTCACGGCAGTTTCGATAGCTCCACATATACTAAATTTGGTATCACGCGACGCGAATAGATGACGATGGTAAACGACACATCCAAACGTGATAATCATGACTCGGAAGTCATGTACGCCACCATTTACCTCCACCTCGTAACGTGCTGCTGATTTTAAAGTGACATATCAACATTTCTCATTCATGCTTCCCATATCATCGATTGCCACTGTACGTGGGATCTGCCAATTTTATGTTGATCTACCTTTCCTGCCCGTTCGTAATGTTTCAGTGCATGCTTCACATACAGCTGCGTAAGAAAACCCTGACGATTTGTTTCTTTTTTCTAACTCTGAGAAAAACAGAGACATGAAAGCAAAAAAAAAGGGGGGGGGTGGAGCAAAGTAAGCCATTGCTGAACCCAATTTGCTGTGCGCATATTTGCTGTGCGCAATTTGCTGTGCGCATAAGTTGCTGTGTGCATATTTCGCGCTATATAGTGGACACTGTATACTCCTAATGCTTATCAAATAGCAGAAGGCTGTGATATTACAGCTTTTACATTTTATTTTTTATTACTGGCAGCAGCTACAAAATCAAAACACAGAAAACGAGCTTTCTGAATGATCCAAGAAGATTATGTACAATGTCTGTATGCGATGAAGCCAAGAACAATGTTGCATCGTCACATGATTCGGCAGTTCATGCATACAGGGGGTTCTTCTTCGAAGTAGACATCGTCGTTAAGGTGAGTGCACTCGAGGAAGCAGTCGCGACATTTCCTCGTGCAGCGGACCCCTCGACTGATCTTCTTTCCGCACACTTCGGTACATTGAGAACGCACCTCGTGCGCATTGAGCACGGCTGAGCAAGGCACCCGAACGACGTGGTTACAGGGACTAAGCGCGTTTACCATTATTTCACACTCAGTCTGACATGGGTCTCCGCACAGCGCCTTGCAAGGGTGATCACAAGGGAGCAGCTTCTTGCAAGGTCTGGTGCACAATGTCTGCTGGTGGTCTCTGTCGGTAAGGTGGCACGTGTTGGGACACGGGTGACCGCAAGGCAGGAAGGCGTTGCACGGTGTACTGCAGCCGCCGTCAATGACATCAGCGAAGTCATTTCCCTTCGTCACAGCCGTAGTCTTGTCCGGGTGTATCTGGCATTTAAGCTCAAGGGGCCCGACCATACCTTCTGCGTAAAGGACAGGGGCAACTTGCTTCCAAGTCTTGGTGTTATCCGACAGGTACGTAAGGTTCCCGATGCAGAACAGGCCTATCGTCGAAGACGCGATAGCATTATAGTAGGTCCCAACACGAGACCTCGAAGTCATACGTCGTGTTAGGACACGAAAATGACATGAGTACAATGGAGTTCTTGCAGCCTTTAGCCTTGTCCACTGTGGCGACCAGGGGCTCTTCTTCCAAGCCGCATAAGTTAGACTTGATGAGGTCAACCTGATCGACGGTGGGTAGCGTACACGCAGATCTGACACGGGTCGTACCCTTGTATTAACAGGATACTTAGCCAGCGACGCCAAGAATTCCGCTTCCAAGGCGCATGCGATAATGTTGTCCTATTGTGTAGCAAACAGAGTGGTCGACGAAACCGCACGTTCGACGAAACTCCCCGTATCTGCGAAAGTTCGGTCCGGAACTCGTACCTTTCGAGAAATGTGTTGGTCTTGAAAGCATCTATAATTTTTACAGTGTTTAGGGTTTAGTTTGTATTGTGTCAAAAGCTGACAGCAGGTGACCCCTTGTTCAACAAGACGCTCGAACAACGAGCCATAGGCGGTCTCCATCTCTCCCGGTAGTCGAAAATGTTTCGCGTGTCACTGATGAGAACAATGTGATGAGGGTTGAGTGTTATCACGGGGAGCATGAAGGGCTCTGGAATTGAGCGTGATTCTAGCACGATAATAATCTGTGGCTTAATGTCTCTGAGCATCGTCCATATCTTTGGTAGGGAAGAGAGAGTTGCTCCTAGAATCTTCTTTCCGCGAAGAGCATCGAGCTGCAATTTTTCTTCCACCTCTTTCTTCAGCAAGAGCAGCGTCTTGAACCTTTCCACGAGGTCAAACCATTCGCGTGATTTTCTCTCGCAATAACTGTTCCTCCAGTAACCATACAGCCGGTACCTGCTCTCCATGTCAAGCTCCCACACGTCACTAATGTAACACACTTCATCTTCAGAGAGAAAACTGTGGTTTCCCGAGGAAAACCTCGCTACAACATCCTCATTGTCAGCAAGCAGCCAGTCTCTCAGCTTGTCTTCTGCGCCAGTCACCATCGTGAAAAACAAGCTCCTGTAATGCTTGTCATTCATCACAGATTTCAGTTCGCTCTCTCCCAGGAGCCTAGACGGAATACGTCTTAGATGATCTTGCACGTTCCTAGTTCGGGATTTAAGTTGTTCTATCTCATCAACATGTCGCCTTAGTAAGCGCAAATGTGAAGGTTCGACTACCTCCGGATTGTGTCCGGCAGTCAGCACTCTCTTTTTCATTTGAAAAATATCGCTGTCCGCACTCACGATTTCAACGTCGTCCAGAACTTCTTCAAATTGTGCCATAATCGAGCAAATGCTTTCTTTGTCCTTTGATACGATCATGATGGGACCTCCATGGGAGACGTTTATGTTGTCCAACATGACTGACACAAGCCGGGTCACCATGAAGGTTTTGCCCGTTCCAGGAATCCCTTCCACGAGTGTGACATCTCTCGAAACTGCCGTCTGTATGGCATCGTACTGGTACCGATCCAGTTCAGTCTCTCCACTACTCGGCCAATCTCGGTCATTGTGTGGACGTATAAACAGACTCTTCTTGAACAGCGCTTTCATGTCAAAGACGGTGTTGTTGTTCATGTAACCAGGCACAGCGGGATCGCTGCGTCCATCAACAATGTACTTTTTGAAAGGCAGCTGCAGCTGTGTTGCTTCAAACTGTTTCATCACGTCAAAGACTGAGATATACTCTTCATAAAGCTCCGGGCACTCCACCATGACAAAGCCTTGTACAGACGCTGCAGCCTCAAACCTCCTAGCATCGGTAAAGGATACAATCATATGTCCCTGTTCTCTGTCTTTGAAACTTCGCCGCAGTACTTTGCCGTGAACGACTGTCTGAAATCCGTCGTTGCTTAGGCAAACCATGCATCCAGGCAGCAGTCTGGACTCACAATTTCTGCCGTCTACGACGCTGAAGCTTACCTTGTGGCCGACGCCGTTGATCGTACATACAGGAGCACCAATCTTGACTTCTGTGTATATGACAATGTTGATGTGTTCAGCCGATACCGGGAACGACTGCAACGTGCTCAATACCTTTCCCAGCGGCTGGAGAAACAGTTGCCTGAGACGACTGTACTGATCCCTTAAGTATTCAGTCGTCGTAGCTGGACGAACTGAACCGACTTCTGTTTCGCCAAGTTGCGCCCACTGAAGGAATTCCTCTGGCAGCACTGACGACTTCTCTCCGGCGTCTCCGTCTCCTGGAAACGAGGCGTAATGAGTCCTCCCGGCGACTTGTCGAAAGTCAAGCTTGTTTGCCTCGGCCAAGAGTGTGCCAATGCTTTCAACTGCTTCCACAACGTTCCCGTCGATTGGTTGCGTGTCCTGAAGACTGCTGTTGACTAAATCTAGCAAAACGGCAGCGAGGCTACAGAAGTTGTTTTTACCCTCGCGTGGAAGGAGTTTCACCTGACTTCTCCACGACCTTCACCAGGGGTACGACGAACTCGTCCCAAAAGGCTGGCAACCGCCGCCTGGAACGGAAGATTGAAAAAATGATTTAGGGTTGCAGAAACATTTGCGCTAAATAGATTAGTGTCAATTCACAGCTCAAGGGGGGGACAATTAGACCGCGGAGGGTTGAGCACTCTTTGCTTTTTCACTGACATACCGTAACATAAGCAACACTCATGACACACTGCTTCACGTCTTCCTACAATCATCAAGGGCAAGAGCCCTGACTAATATGCACTCCAACGAACAGTGTAGGTGTGCATACCTCATGTAAAATAGAGCAATATATGTCCGGCTATTTAAGAACAAGAGCCAATAACAATATAGCTTCTGTCACATGATCAAGACAGCCAATACCACAGCCAACTCGAATATATGAAGCACGTCGCTAAAGGGAAGATGGGGATGTTTTAGGATTCAGCGTAACCATTTGGCCTTGATAAATGTTATATTTATGCCAAGTTTCACAATGGTGTACAAGAACATTCTACGCCTTGGTGGTAAAGTGATACGGTGCTCAGCAACTGGCCCCTAAACTATGGGTTCGATCCGTATACAGCAGTAGTAGTGTTTCTAAAGGGGCGAAATGCTGCAAGTCTGTGTACTTATTTTCGGAGCACATCAAAGAAGCCCTGACGGTCGAATATTTGCGCAACCCTCCACTAACGGCACCCCTCAAAAGCTTGCCATGGTTTTGAGACTGCAAAAAAGGAAGTTGGCAATGGTCAGACTTGAGCTCACTTAGCAATATACCGTCCCACTAGTCATCACCCTCCCCAATTCTCTGTGAACCAGCAAGCCACCAAACACTGGCGAGGCCCTACACCATTGTTTGATGGCTTGCTGGTGTTACAGCACCTATCCCCGCTCCCCCTAGGGGTGCGAAGCTCTTCCCTGAAAACTTTCTCTATTGCACGTGTATGCACGTATGTATACACTCATACATACAGAGCACGAAACAACACACATCTATAGAATATGGCTCAGCCCACCCCTCACCAAAAAAAAAAGAAAAAAAGCTCTGGCTATGCTGAAACCCAAAAAGAGACTAAAAAGCGCCAAAACATCGCAGTGTCTTATAAAGTACTATAGATTATTTTGCGGATGGATTTTTGTGGCCCCATATTGAGCCGTTCACCTCGCCATTTTAGCACCTTGGACGACTAAACGAACAGTGCTATACGGTGGACTTGTACACGTGAAAACGCTTGGGTTCGCGCATTCGATGTTTCCTGACCTCGTACACTTACATCACGATACACACACGTACACACAAAAACACATTCGTTTAACAACCAAAGGTGGCAGCTTGCAGATGTCTTACGTAAAATCTCTCTCTCTCTCTCTCTCTCTCTCTCTCTCACACACATATTATATATATATATATATATATATATATTCAGCAGGAAGTTCAAGGGGTCTGGTACGTATAAAGAACACAAGCGAGTACACGTACGAAAGAGCAATACTTTTATGCCAACGTTTCAGCCGTGGCACGGCCTTCGTCAGGGAAAGCCGTGGCACGGCCTTCCCTGACGTTTCAGCCGTGGCACGGCCTTCCCTGACGAAGGCCGTGCCACGGCTGAAACGTTGGCATAAAAGTATTGCTCTTTCGTACGTGTACTCGCTTGTGTTCTTTATATATATATATATATATATATATATATATATATATATATATATATATATAATATATGATTGGTTCAATCAGAACGAAGAAGGAATGGCTCGTCTGTCTCGGCCTGTCCGTCCCGTTCCTTGCCCCGTTACCCAATTCTTCTAGCATATACACCAACCATTCTAAGTTAACACTTTATGTATGTGTATTATACACTGGTGCCATTTCTCACCCTGATTTCTCCGTTGGCAACCGTGAATAGTCGCCATCGTTGGCCAGGGAAAACCCTGCCCCTTTGCTGTAGGTGTGGCAGTTTCTCCCCGGACGCCCCTTCTTGTCTCGGCAGCTGGCCTTCGCGAGCCCCAGCTGGGCCGCGGTTTTGTCCCTGAAGCGAGGCGGCCGCGGAGACTCAAACTGCATCTCGTCGGACGTGACATCGTCGTCGCTCGATGCGCTCGAAAAGCTCTCGTCAGTTGCTTGACGAGTCGCTCTGCCGTTTCAGCCGGTGCATACTGAACCATGGAAAGAAAGACAGCAAGATAAATTCGAATTTCGCGCCCATACCACTGGATTTTTTTTCTATTGCACAGAGTGGTATCGTAACACAAACGCCTATGTAAGCGGAGTGCTAGAAAGCTTCGGTACGTTTCAAGGTATCTACTACAGCTTTGCAGACGAGAAGTTTCCTTGTCGAAACATCGGCTTCAGAGAAACTCCCCTCTTCAGAATTTTTTCGCAACTTCATGCTTCCTTAGAAGTGTGGCAGCTTGGGCTAGTTGGTATGGCATGACGATAGTTATAGCGCAAGAACAAAACGACGACACAGAGACAAGAAGGACACGAAGCGCTCGTGTCTTTCGTGTCCTTCTTGTCTCTGTGTCGTCGTTTTGTTCTCGCGCTATAACTATCTTCATGCTTCCGTCTTACCCTGGACTTGTGCTTTCTTTAAAATTCGCAGAACAAGTCACTTCGAACACCTACAACAGACAACGCGTAGAGAGAAGCTCAAGAACTATCACGGGCATGAACATTTCCAAAGAACGAGGGATTTGGTTAAAGAAAACACAATGACAACGATAACTTGGCGTGTTCGGGGTTCCGTTACTTCGAGCACAAACGAAAAACACAGCTCACCGTACCAGTGAAGCCACAGAGTGTGACAACGAAGAAAAATTTTTTGTTTTGAGCTGGTCGCGATGAAGACAAGTTAAGCTGTATGTCCATCAAAGCTTTTGATAAATATTTTAAGCCAAAGTTAATCGATTACATTTTCTTCGCCTGAACCAAAAAGAAAGAAATTAATAAAGACGCGTCTGCGTATAAGAAGACTGTCATATTGTAAATTTGTCACACAATCCTGTCGGTTTGTCTTAGTAGTATGTTCTAAGAAAAAGATCTCTTGTCGAATTTCTTACATCCGGTATCACGAAATCGTTGACTGTCAATCACGCCTCCACATTTTCTGCCTGCTTTGTCTCACTTGTAATCCAATACGTTGGCCCATCGCTGAAAGTATCATAAAGAGAAAAGGAAAAGGTACGGTTCCACCCTCAGCCATGCATAATCAGACACTAGAGCCGTACTGATGTCGCTCAGTGACTCACTCTCGATGTACGGGATGATCAACGTTGTTATGGGTTGAACAGGGGTGTGAGAAAACTATTTTTCGAGATCTAGCATATTACCAATGGCATTGAACATTTTCAGCTCTTTTTGCATCAGCCACAACCTTTGTCATCAGTGTTCATAAAACTACCTTCTCATCACGTATATTATATACAGAAAGAAACTTCTTATTCACATTACACATTAAAGGGAGACTAAAGTCAAATAACAATTTACGTCAGGTTGAAAGCTCAATGTATGACAACATCTAAAACGATAATATTATCAACAGCGCCCTACTTACCGATAAATTAAAGTAAATGCAGAAGAACACAAGCGCTGCAGTAGGACATTTTCAAAATTATCCTGATGACATCAGACGGACCACCTACAATTAATCACTAGTAATCGATCCAACTGCACTAAATGAAGAGCGTTCCGTGCACTAAGAGACGCAATAAAATGCTGCTTGTTCGTTTCATTCACAAAAAAAAAAGAACCGCCGGACGTTACTACCGGGAATGGTGCGGTTAGTTCAAAAATTCTATTTTCGCGTGGTTACACGGGAGAGGTGGTGCCATCTATCAGGGTGCAGTTGAAACAAAAACGTCTGCAATCTCGAAGCCCATGGCGGGAAATTTATCAATGGCCGTTGCTGCTGCTGTGGCTCCCGCTGCTTTCGGTATGAGGCTACTAGCGGAGTAAAGCCGGGCAACGTTGTGCATGGCAACAGTGACGTGAGACGGTCCGGTCAGTCCCGCTTCATGAGGCGGGTAATTTGAAGTGCGCTAACCAAACACAGGAGCACAAAAACGTGATTTTATTTCAAAATATGCCCTTCCTTGGCACAAAAGTAAGACTACGAGGTTTCTGGACCGCCAACAATCAACGTCGACTTAATAGTTCACTTTAGTGTCCCTCTAACATGTGTAATTTATAACTAAGAGATCAGTATTACAAAACAAGCTGTTTATAGTATACGCTACACCAACAGGCGAGTTCTACGCTTACTATGAAATACGGCACTTACCGCACGCTTACTACAATTTCGTCCTTTGTTTGCGACATTCTTACCGAGAAAAGCCTATTACCAGTCCGAAAGTTCAATGGAACAAGGTGGTTTATTATTATGATAACTTTCCGCTATTCACACACCACAACGATTCATCAATTCCTGACATTTGGCATCTTACTGGACGGCTCCGAAGTATTATCACGGGGTTGTGGTACTGACAAAGACAACAGTCGGTGTATCCAAGGTGAAACTCCTTATTTGACTGAAGTTGTGGCCGGAAAACAAAAATTACAGCAAGCAATGCACACTGCATACCCTGATATCGACGAACACAGCATCGACCCTCAACGCTCTGTTCTTATCCACGGCAAGGTGCTTGGGCATTCATACACACGGCATCGAGCACGCCCGCGTTATCGCTTTATCGCTGGCGGCTGCGTTCAATCTAGGATAAGCTCAGCACTTCGCGTTCACGCGCTCAAGCCTATCTGATGATGCTAAAATAATCTGGAATGCTCTCGTATATTCTAGTGCGGTGCAAGGCAGTATCAACACGTGCGATGGCTCATTAACATAAAATGTGAAAAAAATGTGGATGATCTATCTGTCTACGAATCTATATAGAACTAAAGTGAAACATGCCTCCACAGAGGCAGTTAGCGTTTACTGTGCATTGTTTCATTGCAAGGACGAAGGAATGTATGCTACAGCAACAAATAATGATGTCACTGAAAGAACGACAAGCAGCACGAAACTTGCAGCGTGCACCTCAAGCAAAAAGCTCGCACAAAATGAGCATACACAACGCGCACGCATTAACAACTGTTAACGCGGCTGGCATGTCACGTGAAGAACGACAAGCAGCTCGAAATTTGCAGCGTGCACCTCACGCAGAAAGCACGCACGAAATGAGCATACACAACGCGCACGCATTAACGCGGCTGGCATGTCACGCGAAGAACGGCAAGCAGCTCGAAACTTGCAGCGCGCACCTCAGGCAGAAAGCACGCACCAGATGGGCATACACCACGCGCAGGGATTAACAACAGTCGCAGCTCGACCCTCAAGGCACGCTTCCCAAACGCATAGGAAGACGCACAAAATCAACGCACATGTATACACAGGACGAGCGCGAAGAACTGTCACGATTCTTACTTCGTGCGTGAGCAGCGCTCTCCTTTCGTAAACACGGCCGCCGCAGTGAGCGAGGTGACCTCGTTCATGTTCTCTTTAACTACCTCAAGTTCGAAGCAAACTTGAGGTTGAAGCACAAGACGTACAAAGCGCCCGAATCACGAGATAAGCGCGCACTGCACGAGTGACCACACCCCGTGGAGGCGCGCGCGCATAGCAACGTGTGGGGGCGACGACCCTCAGAATGCGTCCCAACGCACACCCTTCACGCCATTTCGGCTACTGATCATGAAAGCCCACTGAAATTGCTGAGCTTCGAGGTCTGCAAACAATATGTGGTCTATATACAATTAGCTCGCCGTTAGAAAGTTAAACAACGTACGCTCTGTGGCCTAGAGGTATCGCATCGCACGCTGCGGAGCGAGACGTCGTAGGTTAGACGCCCAGTCGACAAAAAGTTTTCTTCCTGTTTGTTCTTATTTAAATCTATTAGTATATATTTTGGATATCTTCTGTCATATACGTGACGGAAATACGTCAGCGGAGCCTTGGCGGACAAAGTCATTAAACACTTTCATGTTATAAGAAGTGTAGAAATACTGTCAACAAGCCGTGTTTGCTAGGGCGCTCGCATCGAGGCACTCTAGTGTTTGCATGTCGCTAGCGCCACCTGCGTGAGCGCTCGTAACTTTGCTTACCAGAATGTCTACGTAGAGCATTGGACGTGCGTTGCTCGTTGTCGGTTGGGTCACATCGCGATTTACGTTTATATTTACAGTGCATTGGGCCCTTGGCAACATCGCGCCTTCGTGACAGCGTCGTCAAACGTATGACGTAATCTTCGAAGGAAAGTACCTAACTTAGCAGCGCCTCGGGCCTGCTGTGCCGATTAAGACCACACTTGTAGGTTCCTGTTTTTTGTTTTTAGATGCAAACAATAATTTGTGTATGTAAGCTTTTATTTTACAAACCCTTGCGAAAGAGAGACTGGAGATATAGAAATCATGGACATCATGTTTGATAAGCGCTACGCACTTCGCGATTGAGAGGCTGCAGACGATATTGCCAGTAGTAACCTGCGGCATTAACACCTAGTTCAATATTAAGAGCTTCTCTATCACGGTCCCATTTTTTTAACTATTAGCGCGCAACATTTTATTCTGTCTCCATGAATCGGCATAACAAACATTATTTGATCTGCAGACACCCACACGTAGCAAACGAGACGTTGAATATAACGAAAGTGCTTACCTGCTTAACTATAAGTGCAGAAGGTGACACCATAAGCCATGTAAATTTTGGACGAGTATTGTTGAAGATGAAAAGCTGCAAGAAATAAAGCCAACCTTAGTCTTCATCTTCTTCGCCAAATAAAGTTACAGTGTTGGTTTTTTTGGGGGAGAACTTCTCATTCCGCCGCTTGATTTAGCGTTGGTGTTGCTGGTAAGACACTTACAGATAATATCGAGAAAGGGGAGTGATAAAATGTACACCAGCTTGAGCGAAAATTACCAGAATAAAAAATCACACAAGTGTGCCTATCCATGATCACTCATTTTGAGGTCTTCTTCTTCCTCTACCTCTCTTGTTCTATCTATGCCAGTCGGCCCTTCACTATTCCTCAAGTACGCACGTAGTTCAAGGATTGTCCCCAGGGGACTGTAGT